GCCCCCCCAAAACTGCACCTGGAACTAATAACCGGCCGCATAGCACTCGTCCCGCTACTCGTTCATTCGGGAATTCTATTTCGACCCCTGAGCTCGGTGCACGTTCCCGAATAGCTGATTGTTCTATATCAGACAAACCCGATGTCGCTGCTTTGTTTTCACAACTGCTGGCTACTCAGCAGCAAATCGTAAGTGATATTGCTGACATTAAGCTCCGTTTCGACAACCAATTTGATGCACTCGAGTCTCGGGTATGTGCTTTGGAAAAAGCTTCCACGGGTTCCAACTCCAATTCTGCTTCTGTTGGGTCGCCTAACGCATGCATTGCCGAACTCGCTTCCAAGATTGATGATCTTGAGAATCGTTCACGGCGCAACAATATTGTAATTTATGGACTGGAAGTGGAAGCCTTCGAAGACGGTGGTTGCTTGGCAACTAAGATTGAGGCGTTTTTTACCGAAAGCTGCAGATTGAATGTCCTCAGATTGAACGTTGTCACAGACTCAGTAGACAGCAACTAGATCGTTCCCGTCCTGTTATACTTAAGCTTCTTGATTATCGGGATAAAATGACCATATTTAAGAACGTTGCAAAGCTTAAAGGTACTAAAATTTATATTAACGAAGATTTCTCTCCGCGAGTTCGCGCTCTGCGTAAAAAAATGTGGGACGCCGCAGCTCCTTTTCGTGATATAGGGTGTTCTACTAGTTTGAGGTTTGATTACATTCTAATAAACAAAGCTCGGTACTACTGGGATGAAACACTGAATTCCCTTGTCAAAGCACCTAGTCTTCCAAATAATTCCGATGCAATGCCCTTCCCGGCTGCATCCGGTTCGGAACTACGATCTTCTCCTGGTGAACCTTCCCCGGCAGCAGCGCCTGCTGTCTCCGGTTGACGTCGTCCCGGCAGGAATTAAAATTTCGTCCTTCTAAACTTAAACGCTAGGAGCGTAATAAAGAAATTGCCTAGCCTTCTCTCCTTTGTCTCAGTGTATTCGCCTCACGTCATCGGCATTACTGAAACGTGGCTACATGATGGTATCCTCGATTCCGAGTTCACTCCCCCAGGGTACACAGCAGTTCGCACCGATAGACTCGTGGAGAAAGGGGGTGGTGTTGCTCTTCTTATCCGTTCGGACTTAAAATTTGCTGTGATTACAGGCCCAGCCGACACCGAGTCTGTTTGGTGCAAGATTTGCCTCGAAAAATGTGCAATTGTTGTTTGCGTTTTCTATCGGCCTCCTGCCTCGAGTATTGAAACATTACAGATTCTTAATAACTTCATGTACGAGCGCAATTTTAGTGCGTCGAACTTCATTTGCATGGGCGATTTTAACGCCTCAGGTATCCTCTGGCCTTCCCTTACGTGTGATGGTCGCGAAAGTAATATTTGCAAGGAACTTATAGACTTTACAGTATCTTTTGGCTTAACTCAAATTGTTCATGGTGCCACCAGGTTGAATGCTGTTCTCGATCTTGTATTTTTAAGCTCCGACCTTTCGGATAAAGGCTTTGACTATGAAATAATTGATGGCCTGTCTGACCATCAGGCTGTTCTCGTTTCCCTCGCATGCGTAATCAGTAAATCGCGATATGTTTTCACTTCGTTTCCTGACTTTGAACGTGCGGATGACCTTTCTGTTTTAGACGCTTTGGCGGATGCGTACGATGACTTAGTGCTACTCAGCGCTTCAGGAGACATTGATACACTAACTACTACTTTTGAAAATCTAGTAAAATCATGCATTTTAGAGTTTATCCCTACAAAGACTAAAAAGAAAAACACTGATGTTCCCTGGATGTCCCGCGATCTTTTACACTTATCTCATAAAGTCCGAAGACTTCGGCGCTGCAAATCATCGAGCAATCCAGAAAGCATTATCAGGTTTGCTGAGGCCAAGAGAGAACTTCGAGAGCAGCAAAATATAGCTAAAGATTTCTTTTTTCGTGTTCAACTTCAAAGTTTACTATCCGACAATCCCCGCAAGTTCTGGCGCTCGGTCCTGCCTCGCGATGCTTCTTGTAATTCTTTCAAAATAAACGATAGAATCATTGATGATCCGGCGGAAATTTCGAAAAATTTTAACTCGTTCTTTCAGTCTGTCTTTACAGTCGACAATCTGGTTGTTCCTTCTTTTTCCACCTTGAACCCAACGTCTCCAATCAGTGATGTAGTGATCACTGAAGAGGGCGTGCTAAATCTCGTACTTAATTTGGACACTAAAAAGTGTAATGGACCCGATGGTATCCCCAACATGTTTCTCGTTTGCTACTCCCTTTGGACCTCTCAATACCTTACAATAATTTTCAATAAATCCGTAAAATCTGGAACCGTTCCCAGACCTTGGAAAAACGGCAAAATAGTACCTTTACATAAATCTGGTGACAAGCAAGTTTTCAGCAATTACAGGCCCATCTCTCTTACCCCTCATTCCTGCAAGCTATTAGAGCATATTATATACAAACATATTATTGCATTTCTCGAATCTAACAATTTGTTGTCTAGCTTCCAACATGGATTCAGACGAAGTTATAGTACTGTTACGCAGCTAACCGATTTCGTGCACGACATTTCTAGTAATATGGACATTGGTAATCAGGTTGACGCACTATTCATCGACTTTTCGAAAGCGTTCGACACTGTACTTCACTCTAAATTACTATGCAAATTAAATGCCATATTAAACAACCCGCAACTAGTTACCTGGATTTCTAATTTTCTTTCTGAGCGCTCGCAATACGTTTGTTATAACTCAACTGACTCCGACATTGTTAGTGTTAATTCAGGCGTTCCACAAGGTTCTGTACTTGGCCCGTTACTGTTTCTACTGTACATAAACGGTTTACCTAATAACGTCACCTGTAAAATTCGTCTGTACGCGGATGATTGTGTTTTGTATGAACCCATCGACTCTCCTGAAGCCCATTATCGTCTAAATGACTCATTTACTAAATTTTGTGAATGGTGTGCAACCTGGCAAATGAGTATAAATTTTAACAAATCTGTGCTTATGTCTTTCACGAATAGTAAGTCCCCTTCCTGCTTCACGTACTCGTTTAACGGATCCACCTTAAGAAAAGTAACAGAATACAAATATTTTGGTGTTGTTCTTTCTAGCAATTTATCTTGGTCTCAGCATATTAACCTTATCTGCACAAAATCTTTAAAAAAGTTAGGTTAATTAAGGCGAACACTGTCCCAATCCCCCAAAAGCACTATATTACTAATGTATAAAACACTGATTCGTCCTATACTTGACTACGCATGCCCCGTATGGAATCCACACAAGCAGGGTGAAATCGATAGAATGGAGGCCATTCAAAAAAAAGCTATCAGACTTATTTGTAACCGCTATGCTCGCTACTTTTCACCTTCCCTTGCCCTGTCTTCTCTTGAACTAACCACATTACGCATGCGCCGTCTAAAGGATTCTATGAAACTGCTTTACTGTTTTATTAACTCGGTCTATCGCATGTCCCACAATACCTACATCTCATTTGCCTCGCCGTCCACAACTAGAAGTAATCACCACCTTAATATCAAGCCTTACCATTGTCGAACTAACACATTCAAATTTAGTTTTTTTCCTTTCACTGCCGAAATGTGGAATCAACTGTCCGGTGATATTTGCTCCCTTCCACTGGAAAATTTTTTACTTGCCCTTGCTGATTTGCGTTAAGTGTTTTTTTGTTTTATTGCTCTGTTGATCTGTTTGTTTGTTTCATTCTGTAAATGCTCACTCCTGCCATAGCCCCAAATTGGGGGCTGCAGTATGTATAAATAAAAAAAAAAATAAATAATTATGCTGGAGGCAGTTGTTCCATTTAAGCAGCAGTTTCCTTTAATACATTTTCGTTTACCGAGAGTCTACTGTACTGACGCCTTCTCGCATACTGTTCTCGCACTCTCCCCCGAGCATGCTGCTTTTGCCATCACCTCCACAACACAGTAAAGGCCGGCCACCAGAAACACATTTCACAGTCCATCAGATCAAGTGGCTGCGCAGTCGATTGTGTCCGGTGTGCAACAACCAAGGCTGCTCTCCTGACACATTTGAAGATTTGAAGGGTTCATAGTGCTAAACAACATAAATACGAACAAATGCCCGTCTAACCAGCAGGCCAGCAATGCGTTTTTGTGGACCTACAGAGACCATTAATGGCAGTTTCCCATGCAATTTAGCAGTGTGGCCAAGAGTAATGTGGATGAAACGATGCTCGGGTGCAGGAGCATGCTCGGCTAGCATGGAGAGAGGGGAGAACAAAGTCAGATAAAGATCAGCCGACCACGCGAACAGATACTGTGTCTGAGTCTCGTTAATCACCAATCACCTATATATATGTATGTATGTGTGTGTGTGTGTGTGTGTGTGTGTGTGTGTGTGTGATTAAGCATTGATCACAAAGTGAACTGTCTCTGAAATTGAATAAATACTTCTGAATACTATACAAATAAATATATTAGTTATATTTTTTCTCCTCACAAGACACCACGGCCAAACAGTGGACCTGTCAAGCTGACAGAGCCCTTCCTTAAAAACTGAAATAGGGGCGGGCATCCCTGCCCTCCCCTCCCCCTTGATTTTAAACCCTGGATATATGCACCTTTACACACACAGTTTCAAGACACACAGTACATTCATTTGTTAATGCAAAAAGAATTTACCAACATAAAAAAATGAACCATTATCTCGTACATTTACTATGTTGTCATTTAAGGGCACAAGGTAATCCCCATACTGCCCATGCTTTTTTGGTCAATTTGAGGTACCGTTTCCTCAGTGACAAAAAGAGATATTCACATATTCCATACATCATTTTCTTCCAAATTTTCCAGCCAGCTTTTGCCAGAGAGTAAATATGGCATTTGTGGGTTTACAGAGTTGATGTTTAATCAACCCTACACACCTTTTAAGTTCACTGACCCAGCAGAAAAATTGCATGTGCAGTCTGCTCACATAAGCCTCTTTGACCTTTCAGTGGGAAGACGACCCTTACTTGATCAATAGATGAAATCTCATTGCCATGAACATCAAGCATCAGCAAACTGTCCCAGCCTTCCCTGCACAAAGGAAAGAAAAATAAGCAAGAAAATTAGGCATGTCGAGGCCTAAACATTCAAATATATTAAGTGACAATCAAAAGATAGTAAAAACAAGAACTCACGGCATATCCATGAAGTGAATGATGATGAGTGGGCTAAGCAGGGAGATCCTTTAGTGTTACCATAAACCACCCGTGACACTGACCACTCACACATGCAAAGGTATGACAAAGCTGTTTACAAGGCCTATCAGTTACAAATGGTTTGTTTTGTTGAGTTGTGAATTTCACTTTGCCTTCATTATTACTGCATTGTGGTATCGGATCTAGTCTAAAGTTGGTAGAGACGAGGTCTGGGCACGTTCCCCTGATGGTTGTTTCCAATCATGCGATGTCCATCGTAGAACACATCAAGACCTCATGTACTCCACAAGGCAGTCGTTGTCCGTGATCATCATTGCCATAATCTTCATCGTCATCAACATCATCGCATATAGTGGGTGCCTTGAATGTGCTCAGATATGGGGAACAATGCCAACGCCGATGAACAAACCTCGACCTTAAGGAGGTTCGCCCCTAAGAAAAGATGATGGAGAACTCATTGCAACCAAACAATGCGACTTCAACAATAGTTGCATTTCAATTAAACACTGCTGCAACCTGATTAATATAATATATTCTGGTATCCTTTTAACCACCACTGCCATGATTCCTGCTTTCATTCTTGACAGCAGCATGGTTTTTGCAGAACGTCGTATTTGACATGAATTTATATCTGTATAGTTCTGTAGCTATTCTGACAAGCTGGGCAAGTTGAGCGGATTGGTAAAGTTAGTTGTTAGTGGCTGCACAGGGCTAAAAAGAGTCTCAGCTTCGCCACAGTAAGGGTACAATAAATTGTAACGAATGCAATATTGCAATGAATGTAATAGCAAAGCATTTGAATGTTATACAGTCGAGCACGCTTACAGCGAACCTGAGCATGACGCGGCATCCATTTGCTGTATCCCTAAAGTTCATAGTAAATGAAACACAGCTTTTAAAAAAAGTTGCGAGGGAAAACACAAACTTTTTTGCCCCAAAAAGTCCATGATGCACGTGTTTCGAAGAGCAGAAGCGATAAGGGCAGTCTCGAGTTCATTTAAAACGGCAGGGGGCTTGTTCGCCGAGGCCTGTGGCATAAGATGCATGAGGCACTGGCTCCAAGGTTTCATCGTTCTCACAATCAGATTCCTCCAAATCGCTCTCGCCACGTACTTCATTCACAATGCCCCAATCCATGCTTGGTTCCGCAGTGTCAGCATCATCATCGGCGTAATTAAACCATCGCAACATAAGCCCCACTCGCTCTCCCAGGTCGAAGTCGACAACGCACTGCCATTACAAATCGCCGCCGCAGTTCGGAAGCTTCAGGCTCGGCATCGGGCCCGACGTCGACGAAGTCGGCCTCGCGAAAATAGTTTCACGTGCATGTAGTCGTCACTGCCACCCACAAAATATTCACCATCACCACAGCTGAATACCGGGACGCCTGAAGCGGCAAGTTGACTGCCAGGTGGTCAACAGCTATGAGCAAGCGCTCCGCAACGTGGCACCTAACGAGCAGATTACGCTCAACCCAAGCAGTCACACTTTTGACGTTTTGTTGAGCGGCAGGAAAAAGCGTGCTAGTCCTCCCATCGGCCATCATGGCCACACATGCACACCAAGAGCGAGCAAGACGCGCACCCGCGACACACATTCCAAAACACGTGGAACAGCTTTGGGCCCTTTCCAGTCAGAAAACGAAACTAACTCGAGCCAGCGTGGCGGGTGTCGCGGAGCGGTGGAGACGGTCAAAAGGGTTGTGATCAAGAGAGGAGAGCAGATTTGCGAGAGAGGGCCAAGGAGTGGCGATGAAGAAACGGGAGGATGCGGTGGGAGGACGACCTTGAAAACCAAAACACACGGGAAGGAGGCAGATTGGGTAGCTTGCTTGAAAGGTCCGGGAAACTCGCACGTAGAAAAACTTGGAAAGAGTGCCTGCGCACGCAGAACTCAAAGCATGGCAGCCTGGATTGGTGCACAAGGCGGTGTTCGAAGAATCGGCGGCCGTGGACAAAAAATTGTTTTGTTGCGCCGCGGGTTTACGTGGCTTCACAAACTTCGATATTTCGCGATTCGTTCCGCACAAACTAACAGCCGTTTTCGGGCTTCCACACGCGCGCGGAAGGCATGCTGAGCCGAGTGCTAAGTGAGGGAGAACAAGTCCTAAACACGAAATTAATCACAAATTATCACAGCTTGTGGGGTAGCGTACGTGCGTGCACTAGACGCAGACTATCGGATACAGTCAGTGGCTGACGATTTTGGCAAATGGTCTGGTCACTCCAGGCCGGCGACGCCAACGACAGTACCAGCGATCGAAAACAGGGTAGATGGCCGACCTGTCTTCGAAAGATAGGTGGCAGTGTGAATACACGGGCCTTGTTTGGCGATGCAGGGTGCTCAGAGTAGCGGGAGGACAAAGGACGGAGGGGTGCGTAACAAAAAGCAGTCGGAGCATGGAGGAAGGAAACAGCTTTTCTTCCTCCATGGGTTGGGGAGAGTGGCCACTAGAGGGTCGCAGAGGCAGGGTCAGCGTTTAACAATAAGAATGTACGGGCACCTCGCTGATGCCTGACCGGTGCTCTAAATTGGTTTCTGGGGAAGTCAGGCAGACCGCTGACTCCGTTCTCTGTAACCGATCAGCGGCGCCCGGAGATGTTCGTTGTAAGTGCGATTTTGTGTCATTTAACCAATGTATATTTTCACGGTCACGCAGATATTGTTCGATTTAAGCGAAAGTTCGTTTAAGTGGGGCCGTTATATGTGGGCTTGACTGCATATAGTAAGGCGAGAAGCTAACTCCTTTAACACCCAACTTGGTATACCTGTGTAAAATATCAGTGTAATGATACCTGCACAAGCTAACCTAACGTGCTGTCCATCACTTCCGTGCCAACAGCGTATACAGAGGTATAAGCTGTCTGTTAATGCCTGTCAACATACTGCATGCGCAAATGCACTTGGCTTATCAAAATACATACATTCAAACCTCATTATAACAATCAAAGCTTCCATGAAAATGTTTTGTTATACCCAAAAATGCATTATAAACGTATATTCCTAAATTGTACTTATAGAAAGCTTGTCTTCACTTACTTTGTTATAACCAGTAATTCGTTACAACGGTGTTCCCTATGTAGAGATTTGGGTGCAAACAGTTCTGCCAGAGTCCCGTGACCCTCCTTTCATGGACTCGCCATAGGTCTTTTGAACAATAGAGAACTATCGATGGATTTCGTGTGCATGAGTCATAATTGTCGGCAGCGCTCACGTGCTTTCACTCACACCTTTTAAAAGATATGCCATTTGGAGCAGTGTTATCAGCTGCAGGGCTTCATATCAAACCTTCAAAATATCGGAGATGGCAGAAACACTCTTCCACTTGACTGTTCTCTTCTTGTCCTTTATCTTAACTTGCCTGCATGCAGCACAGAAGAGATGGAGCAACGTTACCTCAACAGTACACACTGCCTTGACAATGGCAGTGTCCATTGTTGCCAATGCCAGCATGCTCTACAGCTCACTTTGCTCTCGCAGGCAACAATACGGCAGAGCACAACACCAAAAGATGTTCTGTAGAGTGTGGAGCAAGCAACCACATCCCTTTTACGGGAGATCTGAAAAAAGCACCAAACAATAAGTGGCAATGGATGGTCCAGGACCAAGCAAATGCCCCCCTGACCAATCTGGTCAGATTATTCTTCACTGTCTGGGGGGGAGGCACTTGTTCGGCATGTTCGGTGGGCTTGGCAGCTGTGACACAATGCAGTTCGCTTACCCGTTCCTCCCAACAATGCAGGTGTTCCTTGTAACTGTCACTCGCCTGCTGATGCCCGGCCTGGCAATCACTTCGTTGGATCCATCATCAAACTGCACCTTCCTGCCTGGCAATGGCGAAGCAGGCACTGTCCCGCCCCCCTCCGCTACCGCTCCGACGCTGTTGCCAGCGCCGTGGCTTGACTACTCCTCCCCCACTTCACCTTGGACAGCCCCATCGAAGTCAACATCACCACTCCGAGCACCTATATATCGCGAACGGTCACCGGCGTCAGCTTGTGGGCTTGGCAGCTGTGACACAATGCAGTTCGCTTACCCGTTCCTCCCAACAATGCAGGTGTTCCTTGTAACTGTCACTCGCCTGCTGATGCCCGGCCTGGCAATCACTTCGTTGGATCCATCATCAAACTGCACATTCCTGCCTGGCAATGGCGAAGCAGGCACTGTCCCGCCCCCCTCCGCTACCGCTCCGACGCTGTTGCCAGCGGCGTGGCTTGACTACTCCTCCCCCACTTCACCTTGGACAGCCCCATCGAAGTCAACATCACCACTCCGAGCACCTATATATCGCGAACGGTCACCGGCGTCAGCTTGTGGGCTTGGCAGCTGTGACACAATGCAGTTCGCTTACCCGTTCCTCCCAACAATGCAGGTTAGTAAGCACAGCAGTCTTTACGCAAAAAAATCTAGTGATTACTTTCTAGTCCAGCTGCCGGGCCCACAGTGTCTTGTCGCTATCATTGCCGAGTGTTTATATGCCGTTTACTCCGTACTCTTGTTGTTATCTGGTGACGTTGAAACTAACCCTGGTCCGGAAATGAACGAAATTCTCACAGAACTCGGAAAGATTAGCGCTGGACAAAACAAACTAATATCCGATTTTGAAGAAGTAAAGCAGCAACTCCTCACAACCGACAAAACATTGTCGGATCTAGGAAAGCGCATGACCGAACTAGAACGCCATTACCAAAATATTTTGCCCATACGAGCTGACATTGCCGCAATTCAAGCCGAAACTACCGCAACCACGCACTTAGTTTCCGAACTTGAAAAACGGCTGGATGACGCAGAAAACCGGTCACGCCGCAACAACTTAATCTTCTATAACCTTCCAGATACTAACGCCAAAGAAACAAATATTGAAACAGAAGAACT